CACACACACACACACACACACACACACACACACACACAACTGTGCTGGTGAAATGAGTGGTAAATGGTTTCTGTGGCATGGGTGGCTAATATTATGTTTAGGTTTTTGGTGTCTACGGTCTTCTGACAAACACAGACGTGTCATCCTGACTGCCATAGACTTGGATTTGGGACATACAAATAAAGGACAGGGATCCGAGTGAAACAGAGAACACTATTATAGAAGAAAAGAACCACAAAGGAAGATGAGTAGTACAATAAGAGGGAGAGATGGAGGGAAATGTGAGCCTATATAGATATTTTGAAAACAATGTAGAAATATGATATCARCTTCGCACCAATTGTTGTCACTGCCTGTCCTAAAACCTAAAGAAAACATTCAAACGGTTGGCTGAAATGACTATAATTTTTATTTAAGGTCTTGTTGTGACAGAAACAGATTAAGAATAACATTTCTCACTTGTGTTATAGTTCATTTTACTGGAAGAGCCTAACTGTTTGTTGGCTGTCATCTGGATGGTTGGTTATTGTTTGTTTGTTTGTTTGTTTGTTTGTTTGTTTGTTACTTTTTAAAAAATCAAAAATGTTCTTCATAAAGGGTAAGCCCTCACGTACAATAACAACCCGTCTTCCCTACATCATCAGTAACTCCCAAAAACACAGGTCATGAAGGTTTTGAAGAAGCCAACAAATAGTCTGAGGTGAACCGGCCTTCAGACTTGTCTCATTATTATTACTCAGTAATGTTGGTCATCCTWATACTATGATTAATCAGTCAGTTTAACCTTTTGTGTTTCATGGAAAAGAAGCTAGTTTTACATTTGCATAATAACAGCTATTTTGGTAAATTTAGATACAGATTAAAAAATGGTATTTTCCTTTACAACCTCACCTTTTGTGGGTCTTTGCAGGATATCAGCAAACTGGAGGTGATTGGTTCTGGGAAGCCATTCACTTCCACAGCAGTGGGTCCCTTATTGGAGAAGGAGGAAGAAGAGAAGGAAGACAAGGAGATTATAAAGGAGCACTTGTGAGACATTTTTAGCTTTTCTTTTTATTTGACAGTAAATTAACATTGTTGACCTAAATCAGGCTGATAAAACTGGGTGAGTCAAAAGTCACAGGACACTCTTAAATGACAGTTTTTGAGCTGGAGGTCATGTTGTTGAGGTAGCCTACAAGATAGCTCTTCTCAGTCATTACTTGCCAGGATATTCATATATTTCATTTTCCCTTTTCTGCCTGAAATAAAAGGGTGTCCTGCAACTTTTGACTCACCTGCATTTTAAAAGGTAAAAAAACAAAGTGAATAAAAGTAAATGGTCTGTCCAACTCACAGATCAACTGACAACATTTTGCTGATTTCACGTAGTTCTGTACATATTTGTTACTGCCAGTGTTACAGAAAAAATATTAAAGGGAAAGCTCAAATTTTAATGCGAGGTTGTATCAAATATTTCTGAATCAAAACAAATCAGTGATTTCACTTCAGAAAATCAGAAAGTATATTTTACAGTGGAACTTACAAGTGGCATAGCTGTGACTGGGTGCTTAGAGCAGTTGTCCTCCAATGAGAGAGTTGGGGGTTCTATTCCACCACTATTCTGTCACATTTCAAAGCAGGGGTGGGCATCGGAGGGCGGCAGCTTGTTTTACTTGTTTCTCTGCTCCAACACATCTGGTTTGAATGAATGGGTGATTATGTTTGTTTATTTCATTTGTTCAATTTCATTAAAAAAATCAATTAAAATGAAAGGAGGCAGAAAGAAGAAAAATTCTTATATCTGCCCCTTTTTTCCTAAAATAATTTCAAGCAATAGTAATCAAGAAACAGGACGAAATAAAAGCATTTCCTTCTCGAACAACAGCTTTTGATTTACATTATACAATTTAGTATTTCTATAACAAACGTATTTTTATCATTCTCTTAAACATTATCAGTCTTCTGCAGAACTTGGAATAGTTCAGTGCCTGAACCAGCTGTGTGGAAGCAGGGAAAAATGTAAAACATGCAGGGCTGCGACCCTTGAGGACCAAGATTGCCCACCCCTGTGTCAAAGTGTCCCTGGGTTCACTGAATTCTTCAATGCCTCTGATGTGTGACTCATTTGTCTACAAATGTGAYCTAAAGCATTGATTAGTTTAGAATGATTTATCTAGTTCAGCTTTGTAGAGACGTAATAGAGTGCTGAATGCATGTGTGTAGATGGATAAATAAAGGCAAAGATTGTGTTGTAAAGTGCTTTGTGTATCCTGGTTGAATAGAAAGGTGCTGCATGAGTACAGTCCATTTACTATTTATAATTTCTGTTTCTTACAACATATATCCTAATGTGGACAAAGTCCAAGCTAAACACCTGAAAAAGCTGATTTTAAAGTTGTCCTAGAAATAGTGTTGACAGTCTTGTATAAAGTATTTCATTGTGATACTTAAATGTGCAAATATTTTACCATAAAATTACTTTGGTAAAACATTAAGTGTCCTGCAAAAATAATGCTTGAGGAAATGTCTTAAAGTGGTGGCATTATGCAAAATCAACTTTTTTGAGCTTTGTATCATGTTATAATACCATGCCCTCATCTAAAACATACTCAGAGTCTGGCTTTGACTCATTCATGTGTGTTCGACAAATCCTGAGAAGGGGGTCTCTGCAGTCACTATGTAGGAGTTTCTTACTTTGTGGGAAGAGTACAGTCCATCAGTGATTCCAAACAGTTGTGTACCCCTGAGTCATTTTGTCATACCACTAGTATCCCTTCAGTCAAACATAATGATGATTCTCAGAAACTATATTATAATATAACTGCTTATTAAATTAAAATTATTTATTTAACACCCTAGAATGTTTAATTCTCAGGCATTTTATTGTTTTTTTTTCAACTCAAATTAAACATAAAGATAAAAATGTTGCCTTGAAAGTGAATAAATAATTAAAGCAACTAGAAGCACTCAGAGACCGTAAAGCTATAATTATACTAAAAGGATCCCCCTTGGAAAAGTGACTTATCCAATGCTTAATACTAAATATAGTAACATAATGTTGCATGTATTCATACATAAAAGTAAGTGATGGAAATCAAAATTTCTATTTGGTCCAAAATATTTATCAGAAAACACATGTAGAACAATAATATTTAATCAATGTCATAACACAGAATCATTCCAAATATATCCAGACATACAGTGAAGGTATCATATAAAAAAGTTTCCAAAACATAAACATTAAGATTACAGTTTAAATTTTCAACAAAATATTTACACTATCGTGTTGAGAAAAATGTGTGAAGAACTTTAACATCTTTAATTTCCCCTATCCTGCATTAGTGAAAAATCGTTCAAAAAATTCCTAGATCCAGATTGTGATCTGGATCATCACCAAAATTTAACGGTGTGTTCCATTGGCCAATACTCACCTGTGGTAGAAAATTTCATCAAAATCCGTCCATAAGTTTTTGAGTAATTTTGTCTACAGACAGACAGAGAGGCAGACAGACATACGTGACCGAAAACATAACCTCCTTGGTGGAGGTAATAAACCAGGTAATGGCAGGTGTAGAAAACAGCAGCGTCCAAAATATATTGTATTGTCCAAAATACATCAGAAACTCAAATGAGCAAATTCCRTGAGATTCCACGTTTTATACTGAATTCCATTTTGTGTTAATTCCGTGATTCCATCTGCAATTTCTGCATTGCGGAAATCATAGGGTCCTACATATCTCAGTCCTATTTTTTTTATTTCATTTTTTTAACACACCTGGGAAATTTTTCCACACAGCCCTGGTTGGGAATCACTGCTTTGGACAGTGTCAAAGGCTGAAGGAACTGTCCAAGATCCTGAAAGTGCTGGAATGTTTAAAGACTTTAGACCGTGTGAAAAGTTGAAAGAGCTGTCCAAGGTACTGAAAGAGCTGGAATGTTGCAGGACCCTGGACAGTGTGAAGGACTGAGGGAACTGTCAATTCAATTCAATTCAGTTTATTTATATAGCTCCAAGTCACAACATACGTTGTCTCAGGGCACTGTACATAAAAAGGCACAATCTAAAGAAGAAGCCAGCAGATTRTGTTGAATCACTTCATCACAGTCTCCCATCCTGAGCAAACAGTGGAGAGGAAAAACTCCCTGCTAATCAGGAAGAAACCTCCAGCAGAACCAGGCTCAGGACAGGCGGCCACCTGCCTCGACCGGCTGGTTGTGGGACAGGAAAGAGACACAGACAAACACACAAGAACCGGTCCAGGACTGGTCCAGGTGCACCAACTTCTGGAAAAGAGACAAAAAGAAAAAAAACACGTTATTGATAGAAATAATTACAATAAACATGTAGAGAAGAGAGACTAAAGACAACAGCAGAGTGAGGAAATGTGCTCAGTTTGTGCTCCAGCATTCTAAGTCTATGGCAACGGAAATGAAGAATAATTCAGGAAACACAAGTCTCTAATTATAGGATTCATCAAAAAGGAAAGTCTTCAGTCTAATCTTAAAAGTAGACAGAGTGTCAGCCTCATGGACAGAAACTGGAAGTTGGTTCCACAAGAGAGGAGCTTGATAACTGAAAGCTCTGCCTCCCATTCTACTTTTAGAAACTCCAGGAACCACAAGTAAACCTGCAGTCTGAGAGCGAAGTGCTCTGTTAGGAAAGTATGGAACAACAAGATGTTTAATATACAGTGTGATGGAGCTTGGTTGTTAAGAGCTTTGTATGTTAGGTCCTGAAAGTGCTTGAATGGTTTAGGACCCTGGACAGTGTGAAGGACTGAAGGAGCTGTCCTAGGTTCTGAAATTACTGGAATGTTTCAGGATTTTGGAGCAGTGGTTCCCAACCTTTTTATACTTGTGTAACCCTGAGCCATTTTTTCATACCACTAGTGCCCCTTTAGTCAAACGGAATGATGGTTCTCAGAAACTATAATGTACTACAACTGATTATATGAAAATTATTTATTTAACCCCTTTATTTTATATACAAATGACTGTCGCAGCCAATATTCACAGCATCACATTTTAAAGTTTGCTAATGATTCTATCATCCTGTCTCTTCTCAGCAGTGATGACCCTGACCATGGGTCGGTGGTCAGGGACTTCATTGAATGGTACCAATCTTCTTTTTTTTTTTTTACAGTTAAACATTTCAAAAACTAAGGAGATGGTCATTGATTTTAGAAAAGACTCTTTGGTTGCCACTCCTGTGGTTATTAATGGTGAAGCTGTGGAGGTGGTACACCAATATAAATATCTTSGAATTGTTCTGGATGACAAACTGACTTTCACGTGAACTCACTTTGTAAGAAGGCCCATCAGAGAATGTATTTTTACATTTACATTCGGGTGTACCCCTCCCCTCACACTGTGAGGGGAGGGGTACACCCTGGACAGGTTGCAAGTCCATCACAGGGCCACACATAGAGACGAGACAAACAACCATTCACTCTCTCACTCACACCTAGGGACAATTTAGAGTTATCAATTAACCTTATGGTATGTTCATACCAAATGCGTTTTGAGCTGCAGGAGTGGCCGGTTCACATGCAAAGTATATGGTGAACGCGCCTCTAGGGGCCTTGCGGCCCGCCAGGTCCATTTAGCTCGGAGCACAAGGAATGCAGAAGGTGCGGTAGAGCATTTTCCGTGTATGTGGTGCGGCAAAAGCAGCTGACGCCCGAGTTCAAAAATCTGAACCTTTGCCGCTCGACGCATCTTTACAACCAATCAGAGAGAATCATTTTTCCATGTGACAGTTTCCTGAATGTTGCYCACAAATAGACGGACAGGAGCTCTTTAGCTGAAATCGACCATCTGTAGATGGTGTTCTGGCTGGAGATATCAGCACCGATGTAGGTCAGCAGCTCGTTAAACTGACCGCGGTGTTAAACTGGGCTCGAGACAAAAAAATGTCTGTCAGCTCGCAGCTCCTGGAGTGGCAAAACTAACCAAACAAACTGCCTCTGAATCATCTGGTGAATTAATTGTCTGGTGTGCGCAACATTCACTTGCTCTTTAGTAAATAAAGCAAAGCCATTTTCTTTATTTTATCTTTATTTCATCCGCTGTTGACACAGACTGGAGAAAAGCCAAGACACTCCTCCGTCTTCAGATACGCATCTAGTCTCTGTCCCRATCTGAATGTGGGGGTTAGGGCGCTTTTTTGCTGCTCAAAACGCGTTCGGTATGAACGTAGCATAGCAGTCATGTTTTTGGTCTGTGGGAGGAAGCCAGATTGCCCGGAGAGATCCCACTCATGCACGGAGAGAACAGTGTCAAACTTTGGGTGTTGACTTAACACCCCCTAGTGTTATTTTAACACTTTCTGAGTACACTCACACCCAGTGCTGGTGTTAATTCACAGTGTTGATTTCCTCAGTGTGGTATCAACACTTGACAGTGTTAAAATAAGCTCTGCCCACTGTTAAATTTTATATAACACTTAACACTGTTGTTATATAACACCAAACAGTGTTGAAAGAAGTATCCTGAAAAGCCCCGCCCTCTTCCACCTCATGTCAGACAGACCAGTATTTACCCAGCATTCCTTGTTCAGAAATCTTGCAGAAATKATGTTTTTGCATGTTTATAACTATTAAAGATGTTCATGACAGTAAAATTAGTTGTTCTTCTTTGTTTTCTTGTTCAGTTTGATCAAGTTGTTCAACTTTAAGTTTATGTTATTGGCCAAAAATCGACACCATGAGTGAGAGGGATGTCCTGGAGTGTTAAGGGTGACTCCATCATACTTACCTACTGATTACTGTAACTGAGTATTATATTTACACTCTCAATTTGATGGTGTATTGACACCTTATGGTGTCTGTTTTAACACCATAATTTCATGTGTTAATATTAATACACAGGTGATACTTTCAACACTTTATTTTAACACTGTTGAAATGTTAATAKGACACCCAGTATTGCTGAACATTGAACACTGGACGGTGTTACTGTTACCACTACATTTTAACACTAACACTATTTCAATGTTAATATGACACCCAGTATTGTTGAATATTAAAYGCTGTTTGGTGTTAAATTAACAAAAAAAGTGAGTGTTAAAATTTAACACTTTAACAAATGTTATTTTAACACCATTGAGTGTGGACACATAGACACTTWGTTGGTGTTGAAATTAACACTGTGGGTGTTGAAATTAACACTGTGGGTGTTAACACTGGCATTTTTACTGTGTGCTTCCTGGTCATTTTGACCAATGTACTCCCTGCTACCCCAGCTTCTTCAAACCCCACCGTCAATCTGACCAATCATGTCTTGGGCTAACTCCTTTCACAAAATAAGAATCCTACTGAGTGAATGCAGAGACCCATTCTCAAAATAGTAGATAGTTCTTAGAGACAGAGGCCTATTTCAAGGAGTTTATATAGTCTATGATGCAAAGTCAAATTTATTTTTGATATAAACAGCATTTTCAGAACAACTGAAGGTAATATGGTTACTTAACTGTGGTACTGTGGTACCGTACATCTCTGGAAATTAAACAGCTTAGTGCAAATGTAGTGTGAAGTTTCTGCTTTATTGTCRTTCACAGAAACCCACAGGCAGAGCAGGAAGTTCAGGTGAAGGCTCTGTCTGTTCCTGCTTTGAGAATTCAAGGTAAACTTGCAACCTGGACTGGAAACTCTACTGCCAGAAAGGTATGAAGGTTGAACTTTTATGCAACAGACTGGGTAGAAGCTAAATTTATCAAAGTACTAGGTTACTTTTGAGGAGAAGCTGATCTGTTTTTTTTACAACAGAAACAATCTACTTGTGGTATCAGTTCAAAAAATAGACTTTGTACTCAGTTTCAAACTAAAATGATTACTTTTTACTCTAAATGGTCTCATGATGAAACCCGACATCGCCTTCAGAAAATACACATTTAAAATTTTACACTTTTTAACATGTATTTAACATACACTTTTAATATTTTACACAAAGTATAGGGAGGCATTTAATGAAAGGATTTTTTTTAAATGGTTGTGAATTGCTAAAAAATTAACTAAGACATTTCTTCCTACACTTAGTGCTTAAAATATTAAGCAGAATATAATCTGCTGCTATRCTAAATTAAACATGCACAATTTAAGGAGGGGTTTTTCCTTCACTTTTTTTACCTTTTAGCATTTAGCTCTTCCCAATTTATAACCTAAAATTATGTGACACTAGTGTTCCAACACATAAAGTTAATCTCTTAAAGCTATTTTTGATGATTTGTAATGTTTTAAATAAATGTTTCTTCACTAAATGATTAGGAAGAAGTAGGAATCAGCACCTCATTTTGCTTTGAGGCCCAGACTGATACGGTCCTCAGCTCTGACGTGGAGCTGTACAACGAGGGCAACACAGCCATCTTTTACAACTGGGAGAAGCAGGTYGTGCCTCCATCGAGCTTCGAACACCTGATAAAACAACAACTCCACACGCCCTTCCACTTCAACTTTTCCTCTGGTATACACAGTCATGATCACCTGCAGCTACTGCTTTTGTGTCACATGTTTGTCCATGTGTCAACTCCTAACGTCATCCATTCATTCATTCAACCTGCCTTTTCTCTTTTTTTTTCTTTTCCCCTCTCTACTATGCAGGTGTGGTCCGCCCCGGCAACACCCAGCGGGTGGAGTGCATATATAMAGCAGCAGAACAAGGTTATCACACTGAGCTTTGGCAACTCAACACCCATCCTGTGCTGATGGAAGGAGCCTCCATTCAGGTCTGGTTCACTGGAGTGGCCTTTTTCCCAGACAAAAACAAAGAAGCGAGGCTCTTCTTAGAGGTATGTTTAAAGTGAAGTTGCTTCCAAAAGAAACACAAATTAAAGGTCTTTTTAAGAACCTCYTAACRTTAACAYTCCCACTTCAGCACGTCTTCACAACATTGCTTCAGGGGAGAGGTGCTGTGTGGGATGGGAACTCAGCTGGGGACTGAGCTCCAGGGAGGGGCTTTGTGTAAATAGGCGGTGCTTTGTACCAGCAAGCATTAGGGCAGCTCCACATGCCTGCCACAGGAGATTCAATGATTTCTCAAACATGCGTTAATGAGTCAAAGCAACAGTCTCTGTATATGTTTGATAAGGGAATGACATTATAACATGACATTATGCTAAAAATAAAAGTTCTTGCATAATAATCCATTTTTAACAGTTGACAATAAAAACTACAGTCAAAAAGCCTTTTTTAGAATTGGTTATACCCTGTGTTGTGTTTATGTTTGTGTGTATGAGCAGCAACAGCTAGAAAGGAAAGTTGCAGTAAGCATGTGTCAATCAATTGTGGATGAGATACTGGATGGCGTCCGTACCCCTGAGAGAGCCAGCTCTCCTCCAGAGCTTTACATCACTGAAAAGCAGCAGTTCACCAACAAAAACCCAAAGGTAATTACCCCCATGTCTATCTATCTATCTATCTATCTATCTATCTATCTATCTATCTATCTATCTATCTATCTATCTATCTATCTATCTATCTATCTATCTATCTATCTATCTATCTATCTATCTATCTATCTATCTATCTATCTATCTATCTATCTATCTATCTATCTATCTATCTATCTATCTATATATATATATATATATTGTATATTTTTGGTACTTGCCAATTAATACGATTAATGCCACCAGGCAGAGTCCACTGGGTGCTCCTCTCTGCTTCAAATATGATGGACATTAAAAAAAGGTTCTGTAATTTATTTATCTATCAATACAATTTAAAAATTGATGTACAGCCTGAAGTTTGTAATTTTGACACAGTTTGGAACAGATTTTTAAAAAGAGCAAATCTTTCCCACTAAATTGGTCATGTGACCAGGACATAAGGGTGTCCAGGGACTCCAGGGGATTAATCGTCAAATTAATCGTTATCGGCTAAATACCACAATTAATCGTGATTTTTTTTTTTTGCCAATAATGCCCAACCCTTATACATACCTAAAACTTAAAAAGCTATTTTCTAAAATTGTTCCATATCATCTTCTTCATCGTACTTCATCTGTTAAATGATGTTATCACACAGGCTCAGAAATAGTCAAATACTGTAGTATCCATTTCCAACTATAGATTGTCACATGTCCCAGTTTTTCTATGTAAACTGTAAGAAGCCTGTATTTTGAACCAGGGTTTGTAAAATTATCTGTTTGTGAAAAACAAAAGTTAAATATGACACATCTACTGTAGTTTGTCATGCTACTAAATGGAGGAGCTGTAGGCCTTTTTGATTCTTTGCTTGTTAGACAAGTTTGTTTGGAGACTGTTTCTAAAAAATGTCAAAGGTAAATTATATTAATACTTTTGGGTTAGACTAGAGCTGTAAACATTGCAGTTTCTCAGTGTCAGCTTCACAGTGGTACTTTGATGTTGTGATGCTCTGGTGACTCAGTTAGATTAGTTCTAATACTCTTTGTGTTCTGTGTTGTCTGAGGCAGTGTTCACTGGGCATCAAGGTGGCTCATTTTCATGCAGCACAGATGTGTCATAGCCTTTTCTTTCAGTGTGTTGGTTCAGAATGACAGCACGTGATTCAGTGAGAAGAACCAGTAACTGATCCACTCATTGTGTCATATTTATATTTTTATATTTCCCAGGCTGTAAACATGAGTGTAATCARTTCATGTAAGATCCTCTCAAACCTGACCTGTATGGTAGACCTCTTTCATTTAGTGTATTTTCCCATCATAATTTATGGTAGCTCATTACTTAGGGAGCATTCATGTGATTACTGTCTAAAAATATATCCTGAATCAATTCTCACTTTTCATTTGTGACTGTTTGAAAGCATCATTAGGGAGTCCAACTAAAATCAAACAATTTTCAATTTATATTGATCATCTGTAATTACAATAATTGGAATATTGTTGTTACCAAAGTTCAATCAGCTAATAAGAAGATAAATATAGCCAATGAAACCTTTTRGACCAGGGGTCTGCAACCKGCRGCTCTAGGGYCACATGAGGCTCTTTGGGCCCTCTGCAGTGGCTCTTTGGGCCCTCTGCAGTGGCTCTTTGGGCCCTCTGCAGTGGCTCTTTGGGCCCTCTGCAGTGGCTCTT